CCACCTACATGTCAAATTATTCCAGTCAAACAACCCAATAGAGCACGAAAACCTGGCTTTTCAGTGCTCTCCAATCATGATAGTGTTTATTGTGAATAAAACAAAAAGGCATATTTCATGTAATCAAGTTAAGAGGATTTTGACTTTCATGTTCGAGATCAGTAAGCAGCATCTGCCACACTGGCTATATGAACATTGTGGCACTACAAGGTCTTTGACATTACTTTGAAGCATTCTGTTGTTTTTAGTCGAAGGCTTTGATCAGTGTCACGTCTAAACCAGGCACACATTAGTGTTTCCCTTCCTCATAAGCTTCACTAATAAGTGCAGGAGAATATAATGCAATAATATGCAATTCATTCCTTACTGTCTGACTGTTTTAGTAATGTTCTTAAATGTTCACCTCCCTAGATGTGAGGATTTGCAGACTTTCTTTGTGTCATATGACAGTACACTGAATGAATGTTGGTGTTAATGTTAAAGCTGTGGGGTTCTCCGTCAGAACTTCTGTCAGATGGTTGAATGTCTTCAGAAACTTCCACTCCTCAATTCTGTTGGAAGATGGAGAAGGAGCAGAACTGGCTAATGGAGAGGAGGACAAAAGTGGAGATACTTAGTGAGAGGTGTTCATCTTACTCCTTCTCCACCAGCTCCACCGTATTCTTGTGTGTGTATATATTTTTCAGACAAATATTGCGATTGCGATTCGATTTGCGATATTTGTTTTTAAGCGACCCAACGGAAGTTTATTGTAAAATGCGGCCATATCTCCGGCTAGGAAGGTCGCATCAACATGCTCCGGTCTCTAGCACCCTCGCAGCCCGAGCTACGAGTGAAAGAACTAAACTTACATGAAACTTCCGTTGGGTTGCTTTAAAGTCAAGCTTCAGTTTAAGATTCACCCTGTAATAGATGTAAAACATGTGATGGAGCATTACTAACCTGACCCAGATCTAGGAGAGCTCCATTGGAAGCCATTTGGAAAGGGCAGGCACTTTCAAAAATACTTGGCAGGTGATTGGATCAATCCGTCTCTATCATGGGCCACTTCTGATTGGTTAACAATGGCTGGTACATCATTTCAAATTGCGATTAATCGTTCAGCCCTCGTGTGTGTTGTGTGTGTTGTGTGTGTGTGTGTGTGTGTGTGTGTGTGTGTGTGTGTGTGTGTGTGTGTGTGTGTGTGTGTGTGTGTGTGTGTGTGTGTGTGTGTGTGTGTGTGTGTGTGTGTGTGTGTGTGTGTGTGTGTGTGTGTGTGTGTGTGTGTGTGTGTGTGTGTGTGTGTGTGTGTGTGTGTGTGTGTGTGTGTGTGTGTGTGTGTGTGTGTGTGTGTGTGTGTGTGTGTGTGTGTGTGTGTGTGTGTGTGTGTGTGTGTGTGTGTGTGTGTGTGTGTGTGTGTGTGTGTGTGTGTGTGTGTGTGTGTGTGTCCAGGAATACTAAACGGATAAACCTTCTTGGCTCAGGCAATAAAGTGGAATGATCAAAATGAATGTTCAGTTAAAGAATATCTCAAGATGTTGGGACTCCACAGACAGCTGCTGCCTGCGTGCTGCACCTGTGATGGAGCTTCCTGCTGTACGAGCGTCTGTGTTTGACTGAAATGTTTTTATAACTGCAGTGCGGCTCAGGCCTCGGAGTTACATTCAATGTCCTTCTTCCTCCATGAATGTGCCTTTTTAGCTTATATCTGTAGGGACCTAGAAGAAGGACAGGTCTATGTCCTGATTAGTAATTGTGTTACATATATTGTGCGTGTGTTTGGATATGTAACAGCTGTGCACAACATGCAGTGTGTGGTGTGTAAACAGCAGCCTCTGCTCTGTAGCCGTAGAGAAGTGTGCAGCTCGTTTGAGGCCCAGGTTGTCTGAAATCTCTTCTCCGTGCAGGAATCTAACAGCGGCTTGGAGATCAGTCAATTCACCCAAATATGTATCTGCAACAATATTGACATTTTATTCATTTTTTATATAATATTTTCCATCAAACCTGTCAAAAATCACAGTTTTCCCACATCTAAATGTAAATGATTGACGCATGTCTTATACATATAGTAAACTTATAGGTGCGTTTTAGACTGTTGGAAACAACACATTTGTAGGCATCTCCTTGGCCTTGGTGTTTGTGATCGACATAAAAGAAGAATCTGGGACAATATCTACATCATAAGCTGTGTTTTGTTACTGCTGTGAGAAAGTGCTTTAAGACTAAGACCCTTTTCTTTGGTTAGTGTTTGATTACCGCAGAGCGCCATCTTCTGCTTGCAATATGCTTTTGTAACGATCAGAGTCTTCTGAAGACATTTAGCTGATTTAGTGTTCCTGAACAGAGTTCCTCCACATGTTGTCATTGGAAAAGACAACATTATAATCATGCCTGTTGGACTGTTGGTAATTCATCTCTCCTACCATCCAGAAACTATTTAACTTTAACTTTCTAATTGCACCTTTTAATTAATGAGAAAAAAGAAATATTTCCCAATAATTTTCTTGAACATTTTTCTTTTGCATTGGATTTTCGTGTTCTTTGTTAGCTGAAGCACAAATGTGTTTTCTGCTATTGCATACCCTTTGGAGGAAGCCAAATGTGCAAACATATTTTTACCATAGCCTGCAACATTTTGGGGGTTTCAGTTCTTTTCAAAACGATCGTTCTGTGGTGGGACCAGAATGAAAGTCTTTCTCACACCTGGGCCCCAACGCTGAAAATGGAAGTAGTTAGTTTTGGTACTGGAAGATGTATTGGTTATACTTTTTACATTTAGACGATACAACAAAGTAAGACAGCAGAAGTTATAGTTTTTCTTCATGAACATTGCAAATAAATAACAGCTCTAAAAACATTTGAAAGATTATGAAATGGTGCTTTAAGGAAATCAAAAAGCCACTGTGATGAAAAAGTTATGTTTGTTCAATTTGATAACAAATGTTTGATTATTATTTGATTATGCTTTCGTCATATCGGTTCGATGTACTCCTATGGATGAATGATTTCAAACAGCAGATGGTAAAAGAGTTAAAAAAAACTCTTTATGATCAATGTTTGATATATAACGATATTATATTCAAATCGGTTCTAGCTATGGATTTTGCATCTAAGTGTTTTTGTTTTGCTACTTTGTACAAGTCTACAAAGTAGCTGCCATGCTAAGGTCCCAACAAATTGCCTACATCACTCACAGTATATGTGTCATGTACAATGCCAAATAATTCAACACTTCAGTGTAACCCAAAAGGAATATGCAATATGCATGGTTATATGAAACAACAAGAAAGAGCTTAAAGGTTTCATCCTATGTATGGACACCACTGCACACATATTGTGTACACAACAATTCTAACTGTGTGTATAATTAATTACCCGGAAACTGACACACTGGGCACTAACAGCCCTGTGTGTGTGTCATTTGTGGGGCGTGTGTTTATGTGCGTCTGCGCTTTTCTATCCCTGCCCTGTCATTAAAGGAGATGAAGGGAGGATGTTTGTCCAAGACATTCTTACAGGCTACCCAGTGTGTGTGTGCGCGGATCCCAACGTTGATGCATTCAGTATGTGTGTCCAGGTTTTTAGTTTGAGTAACGCGGTTAAGATTGGCTTTTTTTATGGTCTGTGTCAAGGCTATCATTTGCCATAATGCTATCCACCTGCTCCATGTCGGCTAGTGAGGGCTGCTAGAGAATGAGCCAATGCTTTCTTTCTTGGTTCATTACGACACACACCTCAACTAAACAATACAATTAAAGAAAGTATTGTTTTATTTTTCTTTGGTCGCTGACTGAACCTTGATACTTGAACTAAGACTTACAATTGAACTGAGTGTGGGTTTCTTCTCATCTTCACTATTTAGTTTTAGTAAGTTTTGCTTCTTTGGCTTTACCATGAGTGATGATTCAATTCTATAGGAATCTGAGAAAAATAATGTTTCCCCGATCTCAAGCTCTCCTTCAGGCCAGCTTGGTAACTTAAAATACTCCGACACAGACAGAAACGTACTGCATTGAGCGGGCTGCTTCCCAGTGTCAGTGGTGTGTGTTCAGTATTTGGACAGGTGCTGATCCAGCTGACAGATTCTCACAAAAATGTATTGAAATGAGGCTGTTCTAAAATGAGACTTGGTGTGAGAATGGTGTTCATTCCAGTGCAATAAAAAGCTTTCCTGCCAGAAAAGCTTTCAATGTTTTTTTAAACATCTGTATGGCAAACTGCCAGCTGTGTCAAGCTGTGTCTATAGGGAGAGACTTAGCATATAATTAGTATTTCTCAGAGCAGGTAGAGCCCGATAACGACATATATAATATAATATATAATATAATATTAATGCAAACCATCTCATTAGGAATTTGAAAATTCAGTCCATTTATTTCCATACCTGGATGGCCTGACAGTGGCGGGGGGGGCGCTTGCAAAGAAGCTGAATGCCTTCTTCCTCAGTATCTGCTCTAACTCTTCCCTGAGACTGCTCCAAGACACACAGAGTACGGCTGCACTCACACAAAGTAGTAGAAGGCAGGCTCTGGCCCCTCGTAAATCTGAGTGTGTTGCGTTGCACTCGCATACTGTGCTCTGACTGGACAGTTGTTTTCTGACGTAGCCACCATACTACGCACAGGGATATCATTCATTTTCTGTCGCACTGATGTAGAAAACATTGTGTTGAATATCTTTGTTAATTCTAACGCGTTCTAACCCCCCACCATAACTCTGTGCTTCTGATTCTCTTGCCGGTTCGTTCCTGCTTTCCTTAAATGGACATTTGTGTCAAATTGAACTTCTCCAAACTAGTAGTATAGCAGCAGCTGGATAACCTTTTTTCAAATCTCTGTGAATCAGCTGTCTTTATGAAAAGTGTATGTAGACTCTAACCACCTTTTGTATTCCTGGCTGCACTGGGGGTCTCTACACATCCATTACTGACTAATTCAATGACTATTGTGTTGTACATTTTTGTATCCTATATTAATCTCATCTCAAAAATAAATTTCTCATCCTCTTTGTCCTCACAGCAAATGGTGATGAGCCTGCGAGTGTCGGAGCTGCAGGTGCTGCTGGGATACGCTGGGCGCAACAAACACGGGCGCAAACACGAGCTTCTGACCAAGGCGCTGCACCTGCTGAAGGCCGGCTGCAGCCCCGCCGTGCACATGAAGGTCAAAGAGCTCTACCGACGACGTTTCCCGGCCAAAATGGTGTCCCATTCGGAGCTGGCCATGCCCGGGCCGCACCACCCTGCCTCAGCTGGCGTGGTGGGAGGGGGGGGCGCCGCACTGCCCTCCGGCCTGACACAGCTGGCGTACGAGGGTCACGGCGGAGCCCCGTCGCCCGCTGCCTTACTGCCCCTCTCGCTGCTGGGCCCCGGGAAGCACGAGCTGACGGGGCTGACGCACCACCTGTCCGGCTCCACGCTGCACCCGGTCCACCCGGACGTGAAGCTGCAGAGGCTGCCCTTCTACGACCTGCTGGACGAGCTCATCAAGCCCACCAGTCTAGGTGAGGGCTCCAGTGTGTTCTGTGTGTGAGCTTGACTTATGGGGAACAATGGTAGATGGATACTTTTCAATTAATATGTATGCATCATATTTTAAACATTTATCATTGCACTTAATTTGTGGCGGCTCAATTCCCATTTAAATTAGAGTCGCAGAGAGGCTAAGCTCGGCTTTATGCTGTGACGCGTTTTCAATGAGAAAGTCCATACTTAAGGTCGAAAGGTTGAATATATTTAATAAACAAAATCAAACACACAATAACTTAGAAGGACCAAAACGGTCAACAGAAAAATGTCAGCGCAAGCTCACCCTCTGTCATCCGCACCTGACATGTAACAGGTGACCTATATACACAAACCACACCCATGTGACGATTGCCGGAAGTGCTCAACAAATACAAATAAAAGCGACGTAAACAAATAATAATAATACAAATAACAAACTCAGGCTAAGTAGCATTTTGGCTCCTACATAATTAGTATAAGTCTTGAATGCAGTGTTTCTTAGTTAACAACAATGTTGGTTCTGTCTCAATAAGACTTTTTATATTTTTTTAAAGTTTAGTGTTTTTTTATTCATGATAGCTTCATGATGCCAGACTTGACATGGCTGCTTTGTAAGCCAAATAGTATTCTTAGAAATGCATTAAAACACGCAAACAAAAACATTAACTGCAGCTGAGCGTGAACATTAGTGCACAGCCTCCCTCTCTCTCTCCGTATGTTTCCGGTCTATATCCTCACCGTCAATTATCCACTGAGTGTGAAAATGCTGAAAATATGATCTGCAAGGTTGTGGATATTTATGTCATTATATCAATCTAATAATCATGGCAGCAGCCTCAGAAAACATTGATATTTGTGTTTCCGCTCTGTTGGAGAGGCTCCCTGTTAGTGTCTGTGTTGTGCTGCGTGCTAATGCTCTGACAGGGCACAGAAATGCTACTGCAACAATATCATTTACAATATTGTTGTTACCCCACAAGAGTTCAGAGTAAACTGATGCAACAGTTGGTTCATTACAGGTGTAAGTGAACATATTTTTAAATAGAAGAGTGTGATTTTGCCGACCACATTGTCTAACCTAATAGTGGTTTTACTTGCTTGGTTGGTTATTTCCATTAATGAGCAGCAGAGAAGAAACCAACATTTACTGACTTATCATATAAATAGTTTACTTTTTTATAGATGTGTAGTACATTTAAGAGTGACGTTTGGACACTGAACACTTGCCAGTATGCATCATAGGTGAATATTGGTTTTTATTTTGATATTTATATTGTTACGGACTGCTATGCTAGAATTAACTTTGGGTGGGACAAGCAACGCTGCCACATGATGAATTGTCCTATTTTAATCGAACATACATTTTTCCTGCTGTGAGACCAATTTGACATCAGTGTGGAGCCACTGAATATTAATGAATCTCTGCATGGAGACCATCAACAACATACATTACTGCATATATCTACAGCAAATTCACGTCTCCTAGGAAACTATATTTAGTGATAAATGAGAGCAGAGACACTCCACGTCAATCTGTAGCTGAGAGAATAGTTCTGCACCGGCTCTGCAAGAACTAAACTGTCTTGCTCCAATGTGGCAACACACCGCTGTAGTGACACCAAAATAAGATCCTAAATAAGTTTCAAATGTAATACTTTACATACGGTTTTGTCTCTCCTTTTGTGCTTGATTGTGCTTACAAAAATGTTTATATTCACAAACAATTTTTAAGATGTGAATCATAAACTTCAGATTATAACTGTACGAATAACTTAAAGCATTAGAAATATTTCTATAAAATTAAAGATGTAATAATAAAACACACTGTGGTATTATTTATTAAGAGTTAAACTGTCGGAAAGATCAGATTTGAGTGACGGTAGAACCCTAAACAAACAACTCACCAACTGTCATCAGACTTTCATTCGGATATTGCGAAATCCACGTCAAACCAAGAACAAGTAAGCAGATCAAACTCAAATCCTTCATTAAATACACTTAAACTTTTCCAACTTAAAACCGCTTTGACGCAAATCACTGCAGTGATTCCAAATATCCATATCAAATATGTTCTTGAATTAACTTCTTAAAAATACTTTTAGTCTTAATCTCGCACTTGTCTTTAAATTAGATGTACATCCAGTACCCAGCCCACTTTGAGCACAAACACGCTCTGGGCTCTGGGATATATTGCAAATAAATGGAAATGTCTCGATTTTCCCACATTAGCATTTTAATGGAGTATGGGACCATCTTGTGATTAATTTGCCTGCAGATGCATGTACAAACACAGCGCCTGCAGCTCTGCCATCACCCCATCTTTCTCCTCTTCCCCTTCCTCACTCCATCCATTTCCTGCACATGTACCATTCCTCTCTCCCTCTCTCACCCACCCTGCCTTCCATTCGCTCTCGGACTTGGCGGCCATCCTCGGTTCAAATTTGCATGCAAAGTGATGAAATCATACAGACCTACACCTGTGCCCGCAAAACACACCCTCCCCTCATTTGAATCTGAATCGTACATTCAAATCTGTCTCACACACACTCACACACTTCTGCACACACAGTACTTTTCAAAACACAGACATACTTTCCAATAAATAATGCATGCTGATCGCATTGTTCCCGCAGAAGCAGAGCGAACGAAAGAAAGACTGAGAGGAGGAACTCGCCCATCAAAGCTTAAAAAAGAATTTACTTTAATAAAATCCCTCTTTATCCTTCCTAATAATGAAGAGCAGTAATGAAACCCCTTGATTCATTTGAATGTGCCCCTCATGGGCAGAGATGTTCTCCTTTTGCTATAACACTGCTGTAGTACTCTCTTTCACACACTCTTTCACATACTCCCCCCCCCCCCCCCCCCCCTTCTTTGCTTGGTTACTTTTCTATGATCTTCTGATTACTGCTCTATAACACTCCCTCTCTCCCCGTCTCTCCACCATTGACTCTCCTGTTGTGTTGCCTCCAGTTTCTCTCTCCCTTCCCCCACTTGCTGATATCATTTCTTTTTGCTGGAGAAAGCTGATGTGTTGGCCCTGTATGTGCTTTTTACAAAACTGCATGTGCACAACAGACTTAAGACGCTGCAGTGAGAGAAGACATTATGTCCTTGCATCTCAAATCTAAACCATAACTCTGAGGAAGTCTGTTTCCACAGCTGAACTGCAGGCTATTCATACAATTCACATGTGAAATGGAATAGAAAATGGTTTTATGTTTGTACACAATTTGGCATAAAATAAATGAAGAGAAGACGGTACAGGAGCAAAACAGTATGCCCTGGCAAAATGGTCAATTATAGAAATGACAGAAGCTCTGTTTCTTCAACCTGCAGATTCTTCTCATGTTGACATGTTGGAATGTTCTTTATAAATACCTTATGCCTACAGTATTGCACACATGCACAGTAAGAAGAAAACTGTGCTCTCGCTGCAGAGCCATTTCTCTCACTCATGGAGCTGAAGCAGCGTATATCATTAATAAACTTAAAAAACATTGTAGAGGGGGAAAATGTGGAATCAGATCTATAGTAGCTGTAGAATCGCCATGCATGTGAACATGTTTTCAAATGTTCTGCCTGATTTCTCACAGTAACCTGGTGTCTTGTGTGTGTGTATGTAATTGTAGTTATTATCGCTCTCACACCATCCTCCCACCCTCCCTGTCATTATCCCTCCCTCCCTCCCCCCCTTCCTCCCTCGCAGTCTTGTGCTCTCTGTTGAGTCTTATCAGTTTGTGGGATGAAGGTTAGCCGGCCTCCAGTCGAGCCCTGCCAGTCTAAACTGGGCAGTGGTCTCGGCTGCACCAGCTACTGCTTCATTACCATGGCGACCTCACTGGTTGAACTCTCCATCATTATCCATCCTCCATAGAGAACTATGGCTCTGTGCTCATTATGGATATCATTGTGGAGGGCATGAATTATACATGATGTAATCACCATATCTTCAGGAAAAGGATGCCAGCCTATTTTCTGTTTGATGAGCATTTGGTGCATAATGGATTTTTATAAGGGACGATTGCTGCGATATTCACACAATGGAAGAAAATCAGAAATCTGTCTAATCAAATGTTTGGAAAAAGATGTCAGACCATGATTTTATTTGGTCGAACTTTAATAACCTTTTTGAAAACTAGACATTAGCGTTTTAATGGTTAATATCCTATCCACTAAAAATGTTTTCTTTTACTCCTATTCCCCTTAAAATGTCTGACCTTGACTATTTACACTTGATCTGAGATTGAAATGTACCCAGGTCGAACTAGATCAGTAATGTCACAAATTCAAAAGCCAATCACTGTTAGATCTGCAAATACAACAATTAGCATTAGCATAATGATATCTAGGCAAACATAGTAATGGGCAGTTTTGGATGTAAACCTGACCCTCAAGCTTCCTTCCACCATCCACCCAAAAATCCGCTGAATATTATTGTTTATGTTTTACTGTCACTGCCAGTTACAAGTGAACATGCTAACAAACAAGATACAAAAATCAAAGATGCTAACTACACTACACATTATGTTATTCTGCTAGTACCTCATTTTTCACGGCCATTTTGAGTTTGGGTTATTTTTCCTCCCATTTATTGAACTTGTGATGCCAGTGCTACCATAACACCCCAAACATTTTACAAGAAAGATATTCCCCAATAATGCTAAATGTCGCTTACTTTGTTCTTTAATGTTAGGCAGCGGTGTGTGTTGCCTCTCTGCTGCAGGACCCTCACAGGTTTTCTATTCCGGTCAGGGAGTGTCTTATCTTCAGCTCTACATACAGTTAACTGGTGTCATGAAGCACACTGTCATCTGCCTGTCAGTTACACTCTGAACACAAAACGTACTATTATCTCTCATGCCTTATTAGGGCTGCTCGATTATGGCAAAAATCATAATCTCGATTATTGGGTCAATAATTTAATGATTATTAAAAACGATTATCCATTTACTTTGAAAACATCAATTTATTGGAGAAAAAAATGTGAACAGTA